CTAATTTTATAAATTATAGATGTCATATTCTGACAGTGTGTAATTGTTGAGCTGTTCATGACCAAATTTGATAAGTTGGTCTTCCATCAGGGACATTTTTCGTTCCAGGTGTCCATATTCATGGTTAAACTAGCTGTTTATATTTCACCTTATATTGATGACCAACAGTTTCCTGAATATGAATTCAAAATTCAATTGGTTAATGATTTGATGATTTGAATTATTTAGCAGATGATTCATCATTCAAATACATGAACTTTTTACCTTTAATTACGCTTTGTTGAGTAGTACATCTTCGATATCATCTATATAATATCACAATCTTACAGCTTTACAAGTGGTACTACTTTGATCAGCACAATTATTGTAATTTTGGTATATACTAATTAACCCCCATTTGACGTGTACTTCACAAAACTCAAGTATATTTAAACTCACAATTTTTCCTTTTTTTCTCCTTCTTATCTGAAGATTCAAACTCCATATAATTCAATTTTGCAATCCTTCAAGTCATATCCAGGTATTAAATGGAATTAAATTCAATTGATCAATTGGGGCTATAAGCTTGATTCTAATGCGTGCTTGGTGATCTTATATTTGATGTATCGTACTCTATATATCAATGGATATTGGTTTGATTTTTATGATCAGTACAGTTAATATTGTTCTAACTTGATAACACTAATTAAGTTAATAATATGTTCATTTGAAGACAATTATCTAGCTTTATAGTTATGTTTTGTTTCATTGAATAACATTATTTTCACAATTCACTTACAATCTCTTCAGCTTTATGATCAAAGAATAAGTTTAATGAATGATTCTTTGATTCTTTTTAATAATACCATGTAGTGATCATTTGATATCAAATTTAGTACATAGAAGTAATGAAAGGATACTTATTGATGAGCTAGAATCAGGAGCTTATGTTATGATGTTAGGAGCAATTGAAAAGGTTTTTCTGCATACTATAAGATTTTTAGTTTCAATTGTTGAATATTTGGTTCATGATCGTTACAAGTAATTTTCATATTCTATTTAATCATTTTAGAACTCATGAGATGCTCATTTTCCAATTTATATTAAGTAGTACTGCAGTTTAGATAGATATTAGTAGACGCTATCTAGTTATATATTATGATCACATGTTATATAGTAAAACTAAATGTTAATGATTTGAAAATCTATAGATATTAAAGATGTATAGATCTCGGCGCTTAATTAAACTTTTGGTTTTGTGTAAGCAATTATATTAAACAATTTATTTAATCAATTTATATACTAATATTTAGTATACAATTAAATTATTAATTTTTTATGGTCTATACTGCGCTGTGCGGTTGAGATCTTTTCAATATTTTGATCAAATTTTTGTCATTGGATCTGTACTAGTAGTAGTTTTTCCAACATTTATATTCATCAGCATCAGTATTGCAGTATGACCTAAGGTTGTTGATTTACCATTTTATTAAATTTATCAGGACTACAATATGACTGGTATGATGGTATATTACTTGAATTGAAATGATTTAGTCTTATACTACTTCTTATAATTAAATCACAATAAAAGTATATGAGAAACTTGGTCTTTGAATAAATGATTTAAGTTCAATATATGAATTGTGATATCTTCTTTTTAACAATCGTCAGTCATGTAGAATTTATTTGTAATCAATATCTAAAATTTATCAAATATAATTATAAGATGATAAATTGATCCGTTGTATCACTTCATATGAGTATGTATATTTTAAAAATTTGTGAATTCAGCTGTTTTTGTCCTGTGCACCATATTTCATTGTCGAAAAACTATAAAACCCCCACAAGATCCCAAAGTTTCAAAAATTTTTCTTTGGTCAGATCTATTTTGAATAATAAGATTAAAGATCGATGTTATTATCAGTATAATTAGTTGAAGATTAATCTGGCTGTTATATCAAATTCGTACGTTGTTGTGTTGTTATGTTGTGATAACTCGTTATAGCATGACGTTACGTTATAACTAGACGTTGTTATGTTGTTGCAGTGAATGATGTTCTAGTTCGTTCAAATTTCTAGTAGCTGTTTCAATTTTTTATATCACACTAGATGTTCACTTAAATATAATTAATATTGAACGTCGGTTGATGAAGTTCATATATTATAAAGTAACACCTCATACAATTATACACATTTCATATTCATTTGAGTCTTTTGTATGAGAATGATATGGTATGAATAAATGATTGTTTGATCTTTAATGATTTGTTGTAGCTGTTCAATTCTTCTTTTGTATACATTGTTGATTGTGTAGTAAATTAGCCGCCATCAATAATTTTGAAAATTGATCGATTAATTTAAAATCAAAATTACTTTTTTAGGAATTATTTCCGTTCCCCGTGTTGTATACGATTATTTTTGTGCATTATTATTAATTTTCAACAGCTATATATATAGCCAGAGTTCCTCAATTAAAATGATCAAGTTGAACTAATACTATATATGACTGATTTTTAGTTGTTAAGTATATCATTGTCAAGTCTCAAAGGTATGTTTGCGCTAATACCAGTGTATGCATAAAGAACAAGATATAATATATCAGCTTGTATTACAATATTTTGGTTGATCAAGATTAGCTTGTACATACCTTTTGTACAAGCGTTAGATATATATAAAGTTATCAGATTAGTATTTAAATTATCATAAAAGAATTCAAAGACTTGATCGTTGATTAATTAATATATGATTTGATTATCATTTAGATTGCAGTCCAATATAACATGTAGATTAGCTTCTTGAACATACTAGTTGTAGTTTATGTAATTGTGAAGTATTCAGCTCTTCATTAGTAATATAGTTTATTCAATCGTATAATATATAATTAGCCGCTGAGATCAGCCACAAAGCTTAATATGGATATAAAAAGAGATTGATTTCCCTAACTTTCCTGATCCATTTGATAATTTCAGTATCATTTTGATTAACATGTTCATGTAATATAAATTTTTTCACTGCACACTCTTCAACCAATTGATCATATATTTAACAAAAGGATTATATCCACTGAATAGTGTTGACCAATTTTTAATATTGATTAAGCTAAAGCATTCATATTCTATATTGTGATTATAGATTGATGTTTTTTGACTTATGTATTGAATAAAGAGGATGTTTGTTAATGAATTTGAAGATTAACACATTTTAATTTCTATTAATACACAAAGATGTCCTCCTTTTCTATTTCATTTATTGTTTTGTTTGTAGTACTTGTATTTATCTCAAGTGTATCTTGTTACACTTTGACTATATATGATCAGCATAATAACCAACCGCCGAACTAAATAGATCACTTTAAGAGAATATATAAACAAAGCAAACGGGTGTCACTTTGTATCTGAAATGGTGATACTTGTCTTGTTACTACAATGACTACATATTTCTCTTTAATTACTACATGATATTGAAGTGGTATATATTTGATTTGAATTGTAATAGTTTTTCATTTTGTACAACAATTAAAGTACCATTTAAAATCACATGGTTTGAACTAATGGTTAACTTTATTACCTGCTTTAACAAACTGTGACTTACGTTTTGATATTCAAATGACGTAGTTGATTAAATTGTTCATTATTAATTAACTTGTTTGTGGTCTTTGTGTTGAGTTCAATGATAACATTAGCCGCTGAGAAATATTATATAAACAATCAATTTCCCACTTCTTTTGAAACTAATCCTTTGAATATAACGTACACCTAACTAAATTAATATGTTTAATGGTTGTCTTCAAATTTTTATATTGTTACGTGAAATATCATAAGGATTATTGTGTAAGTATAACTAACACTAGCAAATTATTGATTTTAGGAATTAGATCCAACTATGTTTTCCAGCTAAATTATTATTGTTATATTATACAAGTTATATATATATTATACTAACAAATACTCTTTTATAGTTTTTGGATCGGTTCTTTTTTCATACCAGAAAAATCTTTCGAATAATTTCATGATGCAATTTTCAGCTTAAATATTATTCATCTCAACTTATAGACGTCAATTATCAGTATTATAGTTGAAGAATGAATAAACTAATAAATTTCTAGTGGTTAATTTGATTTGATATGATTTGAATTATTTTCCCAAATAATACATCATTTGAATACATGAACTTTTGATCTTTAACAGTTTATAAAGTAGTTTAAATCCCACTGATTACTGTTGAATAGATAAGCCACATTTACATATAGATAAAAGTCCGATCGGTGTAAAACTTAAAGTGACATAAAACCAGATCTTCGAAAGCTGTATAAACATAAACACATACAGAGAAAAAGATATACAAATCATACAAAGAATACTTGATCTATAAGATGATCATAGTATGAATAGTATCAACAGTCATAAACTTCACTTTAATACCTTCAGCGGAGAATAAATGGTGTTTTCGGTAATCACGTATGTGAATGTGGCTTTATAAAAATTTTATACCAGGTTCAAAATAAATTAGAAGAACTTCAGCTTTAAACCATTATGATCTGAATTCATATCAACCAACCAAAGGTATAGTACACAACAAGATAACTACACACTCTCTTTCCAAGATTGCCCAACTCACAATGAAGAATGAATTTTAATCACATATTCATAAAAGATTTTGATCCATATTGGTTCGTTAGTATCATGGGGACAGGTATTTCAACAACAATAATGTATGATTTCCCTTATGAATCACATTGGTTAAAGAAATGTTCATATATAATGTTTGGTATCAATAGTTTCCTATTATTATCAACTACAATAATGTTTTTACTTAGTGTTGTTATTTATCGTGGGAATTCTTTAAATTTTATAAGAGATTTGAAAAAATCTGTATATTTAGGTTGTTATACAATGGGATTAATTAGTTGGAGTAATATGTTATTCTATTTAAACCCTCAGAGAAATATAATTGGTTGTTTTACAATTTGGTGGATTTGTGTTGGCTTATGTATTTGTACTTCATGGATATTAATTTTTTATATGGTACGATTTAATTCAATCAAAAGTATTGAAATTTCCACTGAATTCTTGTTACCTGTTGTTCCATTAACAGTTGTTGCTTCATCAGGTGGTATTATATGGTCTCATTTACCTGATTTTTTACAATCATCAACCCTTGTCTTAACATTTATCTTATGGGCTAATGCTATAATGATTTCTTTGATGATTACAACAGTTTATATGTGGAAATTATTTATTTATAAAATCCCTCATATAGGAATAGTCTTTTCAAGTTTTATACCAATTGGATTTTCAGGTCAAGGTGCTTATGCAATTCAATTATTTGGTACAAATTATTATCAATATCAAACTAAAATTTCTCAATCACAAGAATCTTTCATTGCAGCTGTTGCTATCAAGCATATAACTATATTTATTGGATTAATGTTACAAACTTTAGGTTATTTCTTAACTTTCTTAGCTATTGTTTCTGTACTAAGTTATTTACCAAATATTAGATTTAATAAAAATTGGTGGGCAATGACTTTCCCAATGGGTACAATGTCATTAGCATCAACTGAAACTTTTAAAATGACTGGATGGTATACTTTTAAAGTACTTGGTGCAATTTATGGTGTTTTTTTAATAGTGATCACAATTGTTTGTTTAATAGGTTCATTAATTTGGGAAACTCCTAGATCAAGTAGTTATGAACCTAAACTTAAAAAAGATCTTGAGAATGGAATCATATCATCAGATCAATCAAATGATACTAATGATGTTGATTTCATGGTTTCAAATAGAACTTATGTAAACATGTGAAATCATAGATTTCTTTGCATTCAATTCATCAGCATTTAATTATGAATTTAACATTTGTAATATTTCCAATATTCACGGGATTTGAAATTTTATATAGATTTGTTCCTAATTAGGTAATTACCTTTGCGCCAAAACCTGCCAAATTTCGCCAAATTTCGCCACTTTACGCCAATATACGCCATATTACTCGATGGAGTAATAAATCGCGAAATCTGCTTAATAAACAGATTTAAGATTCTGACGTTTGTTGATATTTAAGCGCCATCAAAAATCCTAATTAAAATCAAAAAAAATCAAGTTTTATTGCTTTCAAACTATTAAATTCTTGATATGTTTAATATTGTTTCTAAACAATTGAATAAAACAATCCAAAGAAATTTCAGTACAATGTCTCCAATTCCAAAACATTATGATTACATAGCCATTGGTGGTGGTTCTGGTGGTGTTGCTAGTGCTAGAAGAGCTGCTCAATATGGTAAAAAAGCATTAGTAATTGAAGGTAAACATATTGGTGGTACTTGTGTTAATGTTGGTTGTGTTCCAAAAAAAGTTATGTGGTATGCTTCTGATGTTGCTGGCAAAATTGCTGAAGCAAAAGAATATGGTTTTGATGTTGATCCAAATTTAAAAAAGACTTTTAATTGGGAATATTTTAAACCAAAAAGAGATGCTTATATTAAGAGATTAAATGGTATTTATGAAAGAAATTTAGCAAAAGAAAATGTTGATTTAGTTTATGGTTGGGGTAAAATTGTTGGTGATAAACAAGTTGAAGTTAAAACTAAAGAAGGTGAAACTTTAAACTATACTGCTGATCATATTTTAATTGCAACTGGTGGTACCCCGGTTCAACCAAATGTTCCAGGTGCTGAATTAGGTATTAATTCTGATGGTTTCTTTGAATTAGAAAAACAACCTAAAAAAGTTGCGATTGTTGGTGCTGGTTATATTGGTGTTGAATTTGCTGGATTTTTCCATGGGTTAAATACTGAAACTCATTTAATTATTAGAGGTGATACTGTATTAAGAAAATTTGATGATTCGATTCAAAATACTATTACAAATCATTATGAAAAAATTGGAATTCATGTTCATAAACAATCAAATGTTTCAAATGTTGAAAAATTAGATTCAGGTTTGAAAAAAGTTACTTTAACAAATGGTGAAATTTTAGAAGTTGATGAATTAATTTGGACTGTTGGTCGTAGATCTTTATTAGGTCTTGGTTTAGAATCGATTGGTGTTAAAGTTAATGATCATGATCAAGTTGTTGTTGATGAATATCAAAATACAAACATTCCAAATGTTTATTCTTTAGGTGATGTTATTGGTAAAGTTGAATTAACTCCTGTTGCAATTGCTGCAGGTCGTAAATTATCAAATAGATTATTTGGTCCTGAAGAATTTAAAAATGATAAATTAGATTATTCAAATGTTCCATCAGTTGTTTTTTCTCATCCAGAAGCTGGTTCAATTGGTCTTACTGAAAAAGAAGCAAAAGAGCAATATGGTGAAAATGATATTAAAACTTATAATGCAAAATTTACACCAATGTATTATGCAATGTTGGAAGAAAAATCTCCAATTTCTTATAAACTTGTGGTTCAAGGTTCAAATGAAAAAGTTGTTGGTTTACATTTAGTTGGTGATGCAAGTGCTGAAATTTTACAAGGTTTTGGTGTTGCAATTAAAATGGGTGCTACAAAGAAAGATTTTGATAGTGTTGTTGCAATTCATCCAACAAGTGCTGAAGAATTAGTTACTTTAAGATAAGATATTAGACATAATGATAAAACATTTAAATGTATAATAACATAATTAATATAGATACGATTATATGAAGATAGATTATGTATGAATTACAATAAAAGACAATTGTGTACAAAATGATTTTAATTTATATTAATTTATATAAAAGACATCAAAACCTTAAGCTTTTAATGAAGAAGCTCTTCTCTTTTTAACTTCAGCTTTTTCAGATTTACGTTCATGTAATCTTTGAGCTAATAATTGAGCGTATTCAGCAGCAGCATCTCTTTGAGCTTGAGCATTTCTAATTTTCAATGATTTCAAATGACGTTTTCTTTGTAAAGCTTGAGGAGTAACTAAACGTTGAATTTTTGGAGCTTTAGTGTATTTTTTTTCACCTTTAACAACTTCTCTTCTAATAACATATTGTCTAACATCATCTTCTTTTGATAAACCAAAGAATTTTCTAATATGGTTAGCTCTTTTTGGACCTAATCTTTTTGGAATTTGTTCATCAGTTAAACCTTGAATATCAGCATCACCTTGTTTAACAATAACTAATGATAAAACAGCTAAATCTGGACCAACAATGGCACCTCTAACAGATTTTCTCTTTCTTTCACCAGTTCTTCTTGGTCTGTAACATGAATGACCTTTAGCTAATAATAATTTAACTCTGTTTGGTAATAAAACACCTTGTTTCATTGGGAAACCTTGTTTATCATTACCACCAGTGATTTTGAAAACATAACCTTTGAATTCATCACCAACTGATTCACCATCAACTTCAGCACCGATTCTCTTATCGTAGAAAACTCTAACACGGTGTTCGTCTTCGATATCGATGACTTTTTGAGTACCGTTGGCTGGGTATGCAATGTTTAACTATAATAATTATATTAGTAAAATTGAACTTTTTGTAAATTGTTTGAAGAATATATTTGAATTTAATACTGGACCCAAAATACATGGATATTAACTGGTTGTAAATTTTGAAGGTATTCAAATTTTATGATTAATCGGAAGACATTTGTGACTCATTATTCATTTTATAGTTATACTGTGCTCATTGGAAAATATTCGATTTAATTCATTGTATCTTTTTATTCTTTTTTGATATTATAATTTTGACATTGATAGATCTCTCATAATAACATGTTTCTAATTCCATAGTAAATGACAATAATTCTTTCTAGTCTTTATTGGTACGTAATGATATTTTGAATTCTCCAAACGTAGTTCACTCAATACATTCATTCTTTCTTATTCTCTTGATACATTTCATGTTTTTAATCTTTAATAAATTTGTTCAAATACAAATACTATAACACAGTATCCTTCCCCTTAATCTTGTATAATATAGGTCCAGTATTTCACTCTTATAATCCCAAGTATCCTTCTTCTTGCCTCAACATACTTTCATTGTGCCTTAGTCCTTGATATTCTTCAACCAAATAATTCCACTTTAACTAAATTTAATTAAACATATTCGCTATTAATTTTCATCATCAATCGAGAGTAACAAAAGTGAAAAATTTCCAGAGTGGGTTCCTTGAAATGGTCAATTTCCTTATTGGGACATTTTGAAATGTTTTCAGGATTTGTCGCGGAAAAAGTTGGCTGTCGGAAATTCGCGCCCTTTTGCAAAAAATCCATCTGTTTTGCGCGGGTTTGAGTATGGTGTATGGGTTTTCTTGAAGGGACTGTTGTGAAAATTGAGATTTGATAGCAGAAAACATCAGTACACCACACATGTGACTTTGGTTAGGGCTCAACCCTGTAGAAATGTGGAAGTCCGAAGTTCTACTTTAATAAGTATTTGTAAAAGACCATTTTATTAAAGAACTAAAAACATAAAACATAAGCTAAACTGAAAAGCTGAACTAAAGGCAACATACAGAAGTAAATATAACTATATAAATAAAAGCAAAAAAACAGAGAAACACAAGCAAAGAAAAACAAATTTAAAAACAGAAAAGGTAGAACTATATACTAAAGGAAAAACTCATTGCACGAAACAATATAAATGGAGTACATCTGATAACTAAATCATTCTGGTTTACCAAACTTAATTTTTTTACTTGAAAAATCTTTATCATCATCATCTCCATCTTTTTTCTTCTTAAAATAATCTCTTAATGGAGTATTTTGTAAAGGACTTTGAGGTCCATTAAAATCTTGATTTGTTAAATTTGAATGTTTATTAAATTTATTATTACCAACATTATTAATATTTGGTAATTGATTTGAACCACCTTGTGGTAATGCAGAATTTGGATATGGTGTATTACCTGAACCAAATGGAATATTCCATTCATTTGAATAAAAATTTGATGGGGATGGGAATAAATCTGGTACATATCTTGATGGTAATCCACCAGTTAATGGCGTTTGTTCACCTGTATTTATCTTTAATGGAGGTTTGAAATTACCTCCTCCACCACCTCCTGTTCCATTATTATTACCGTTATTATTTAGATTAGAACTATTATTATTGAAATGATTTTGATATTGAGGATTTGGATTTGGTGGAGGTAAAGAAAATAAACCAGATGGTAATGTTGCACTTATTGGAGTTGATTTATTACTCAATATACCTAAACCAGGTCTATAATTTTCATCATTCTTAGATTCTCCAGTTGTTGGAGTTTTCTCTTCAACATTTGAACTTGATTCTTTTCCATCTGAACTATCTTTTTGATCATCATTTGTATTATTTCTCTCTATAGGTACACGAGTGTCATTTTTGGAAGTTTCAATAGCTGTAACAGTTTTAGCACTATCACCATTTTTAACATCTCGATTATTTTTATCATTTTCTCCTAATGGAATCTTAACTCGAAGTATTGGTCTTGAATTTATATTATTATTTAATGATCTTGCTCTTGTTGATGATGTTGTGAATGGTGAATTCATAGATGCAGGCTTAGAATTCGGTATTATTGGAGTTGAAGATGTTGATGAGCCTGATGTTGTTCCATCTGGTTTCACAAATGGTGGAGGTGGTGGTACTTGTTGTTGCTGCTGTTGTTGTTGTTGTGGTAGTGGTGGTTGCTGTTGCTGTTGTTGTTGAGGATGTTGTGAATATTGATCTTGAACTTGGAATGGGAATTGTTGAGGTGGGAATGGGAATTGTTGTGGATATTGACCTCTTGCAAATTGTTGTTGAATCTGTTGTTGTTGTTGAATTGGCAGGCTTTGAAATCCTTCCTGGGTATAAAAACCTTGCATCATTGGTGGTGTACCTTGTATCATTGGAGGTGTCCCTTGGGGATGTTGTTGTGCATTTGGGAAATATTGAGGCGGATAAAATTGATAAGGAACTTGCCCTTGTTGTGGCATTTGCTGCTGTTGCTGTTGATCTTGTTGAGACGTTATAGCACCAACATTTGGCGGTGGTAATAAACTTTGTGGTTGCGCATGAGGTATTTGTTGTGATCCAGGTTGTGATACTGGTCCATTATCTTGTTTTGTAATCTTTGTGGATTTTTTGTTATCTTTCTTACGACGTTTTGGTGCAGGTTTTGATTCTTCTTCTTCTTCGTCTTCATCATCTTCATCTTCATCATTTTCACCTTCTCCTTCACTCTCATCGTCTTCATCTATAGACATTGAAAATGAATTTGTTGAAGTATTTCTTGTATGAGAGACTTTATTACCTCTTACTCTTGATTTTGTTTCATAATCACCATAATCACTAGGTGCTTTTATTTCATGTACAAATCTCTTATCTTGAAATTTATTTATTAATTCATTTGAATTTACTGAACTATATTCATAAAATTTTGAATTATTATTACCCAATATTATAACTGCTAAATCAACTTGACATAAAACAGCCAATTCATGAGCTTTCTTAAATAAACCAGCTTTTCTCTTAACAAATGTTCTATAGTTGATGTTAGTAAATGGAATTCCATATCGTCAAAAAATCAATAAATAACATACACTTTTCTATTACGTTCTTCATTAATTGGTTGAATTGAAATTTTTCTTCTACCCATGATGTATATATATATATATTGTTTGTTTAACTTGGCACTTTTCTGCTAGGGAATTGATCAAATAAGTATATGCAAATCTATTAATATGATTTCTTTACGACTGAACAGAATAAAATTTCAATATTGATGAATAATTTTCAAAATTAATGATCATACGTAAATATATATATGAAAAATCAGACTAAACTTTTCCTTTAAATGTAATTGTGACTGCTGATATTTTGATTATTTGAACGACAACCCACAATAATTATTTTCTATGGAATGCTTTAACTGGAATGTTGAGCTTTTAAGGTTATGATATGATCTGATATTTTCTCTCAATTTCACCTATATGCTGGGGTCTGCTTATGGACTTTGAATGTGATATGGTGATAGTAGAAGTGGCAAAGGGCTTGTAGAACCTGCGTTGAGCGATGGCCAATTGTTATGTTGAAGACTGCGAGGTATCTGGTCTGGTCTGAGAAGTGATCTCTTTGAATTGAATGGACCAATTTGAACTGATCTTTCACGATTTTTAAATGAATTTGATTATAATTTTATTTGTTTTGATTTGATTTCCCACTAAATTTTTATCTTTGTATTAAGTTTTTTTTTTTAATAATTGAGAGAAAAAATCCATTTGTTGCTAAAAATAGAAATTTTAAATTTTTAAGTTATAAGAAATTATGTAATCGTACAGATTGACACCAAAAAAACGACCATAATTACTAAATGTGGCAATACGAGTACTTTTTACGCCAAATGGCATAACTTCAAGTGCCGAAATCCCCATTTTGCCTAAACAAGTAATTTCTTCCAATTTATTTCGCCAAAAACCTAATTGACACGGTGTGCGATGACAGTCAAATTTGATTTTTTTTAAGTTTTCGAAATTAAAGTATGGGAAATAAATAAAATGTACAATACAACAAAGATATCAATCAGCTTTTAACTAAACTCACCGAGATATAATGTACAGACCTATCGGAAATAGCTTGGTGATAGGTACCAGAAGATCCACCACTGGTCTTATTTCTACAAGAACCTCAATCATTTCATCTTACCAATTTTCAACAACTACAAAAACTCAAAAAGAAGAATCAAAATCAAAATCAAAATCCAAAAAAAGTACTGGTCCAGCTGATAAAAATAACATTTTTGATCCTCGTGTTATAGGGCTTACTAGTGATCAATATATCCCAATTTCATGGAGAAATATTCCAAATCCTTTAAGTTCACCAAGATTAGCTTGGAACGTTGTATTAAGAAAAATTTATACTGTTGGTATAAATACTATTCAAGTTGCCTTATTACGTTATCAAACTGGATTAAAACCAAAATTCCTATTATGGAAAAACAATGCAATTGAAAACTATGTTCAAGTTAATAAATCATTCGCTTCTAAAACAGTTAAAGATGTTCATTCATCAGTTTCAATGTGGGTTGAAGAATCTTTAAAAAATAGATCTGCTTCAATTCCAAATAATATTAGATTATCTTGGAAATTAGTTAAATTTAATGAAACCCCAAAATTAATCACTTTTAGACCTTTAATGATGCCAGGAAGACCTGTTGAACATGTTCAAATTGTTTATAGATTCAACACTAAACAACAATTGGTTAAAGTCAATTTAGATAATAATAAAACTGATAAAATCACAAGAGATGTTACTGATCATGTTGGTTTCTTAATTGATTTACATACAAATGAAACTATATTATGTGGTTCTGTTTTCGAAAATGCACCAACTGATAAAATCCCAAAACCTGAAGATATTGATAGATCTGTTATTATAAAAGAAATGCGTGAACGTGGTGATATCTTTAGATCTCCACCTCCATCAATCGCAGATAATTCCAAAATTACAAAAGATGAATAATTTGAATCATTCATAATGATTATATTAAAAATCAAAATTTAATTTTATTTCATAACGTTATTCTTGTATATATACACAATTTTATTTTTTATTTTATAATCATAATATAATAATATATAAATCAAACAAATGCATGTACTCAATATTTATAATAATAATTTACAACTTAGACATATTTCCAGCCTATTTCTTTTGTTGCATTGATCCCATAACATCAACATAACCTCTACCACCTCTTTTCTTTCTTCTTGTAGTTGCAGCTGATCCTGGACCTCCTGTTAATCCAATCAATGAATCTAGATCACTTGCTGCACTAGCAGGTTTCTTTGGTGGTAAAGTAGCACTTGATGGTCCTGATGGTGGTGCAATGGAACTTGGTGGACCACTTGCTAATGATGGTGGTGCATTACCCAAAGGTGATTTAATTGAACCTTCACTAACAGAATCTGAACGTGGTTTACTTAATGAACTTGGTTTTTTCTTAATAATTGGAGGTGGTGGTGGAGCTGCTGCTGCTTTAATATCTTCAGGTTTAGCATCTTTATCAATCCATCTTTTCAAATTTTCATCATAAATCAATCTATTTTCTTCACCTAATTTGGCACGATAAACTTTTGGTCCATTATCATTTTTACGTAACCAGCCAAACCAACCTTTACCATTTTCTTGATCTTTATTTTTCTTAATCGATTTTTTACGTTCAATTTTAGTAGAATTGTTGTTATTCGTACCATCATCTTCATCATCATCGTCATCTTCATCATCAACAACATCATCAAAAAATTCTTCATCTTCTGGTATATCACTAATATTATTAGTCTTTGGAAGTTCATATTCTGTGAATTTTGGTGTTGGTTCTTCATATTTTGCATTTAAACTTGATGTTTCAGATGCTGAAGTACCTGGTTGATATGGTGCAAATTTCGATGTTTTTGAAGTACCAAAAGTTGGAACTCCACTTGATCCATCAAATGATTGACCTGTTGATTGTGGAACATTTGGTTGATATGGACTAAAATTGGATTCCGCTGGACTTGTAGAGACTGGGTTTGGTGAATATGGATTTGAAGATCCAAATGTATCAAGACTTGATGCTGGTGGAGGTGGTGGAGCATAAGGATTTGAAGCTGATGAGACACGTCTTGATGATAATGGAGATGTACCTTGAGATGGAATTTGTGAAGCCTTTGGTGGAGCTATGAATTCAGGTTCATTTGGTTTAGATGATTCATCAGCTTGGACTTGAGGTTGAGGTTGCCCTTCTGGTTTTGGAGGTTGAACAATTGGTTTTGGAGCTTCTGGAGCTGGTTGTGATGGTTGGTAATGATTAATTGCACCAAAATCAACATCACCAGAAAAATCAAACTTTTCAGGTTCATGAACAGGGTTTGATGGTGTATAAGATGTTGGTCTAAATCTGTTAGCAGCTGAACTTTTCTTTGGTCCACTTGATGAAGTGCCACTTGCCTTTGGTGCATATGGTGAAACATGTTTAATTGGTGGTAAAACCGGTGGTGGAGGGGCTCCGACTTTAGCTTTACTGACGGAAGGTTGATTTTGAGCAGCAGATTCAGCTTTTGGCTCTGTTGTTATAGATGGTGCTGGAGGTGAGAACACCTGTGGTTGAGAAGCAGTAGCTTGAACGGGTGGTTCAGGTTGAGAAGCAGCAGCTGCAACAGGTGATTGTGGTAGTTGATATTGATGTGGTAATGGTGTAGCTGATGTGATTTTTTCTTGACCTTGTTCAAGTTCTGGCTTTTGTAATGCAACATGTGGAACTGGATCTTGAGCTTGTTCTGGTTGAGTACCAGGTAATTCTTCTTTATAAACACTAGTAGCAGATTTATGCGGAGCATTAAATGATAAACCGTCAACAGTGTCATCACCAACTTGTGAATCATCACCGATAATTTCTGTTGATTCTTCTAAATCATCTTGTGGTTGAGGATTCGAGTCAAATTGAGTAACTGGAGATGGACCAACGTCAAATTCTTCACTTTCAACTCTATTGATTCCATTTTTGGCAATATCATTAGGTTGGTCTTCATTGCTAAATTTATGACCATTTTCAAATTCTTCAAATGAACCTTCAGTTACTTCTTGAACAGATTCATCAACATCTGGTCTGATCTCAACAGGTTCTTGAGTTGGAACAACTGGTGAAATTGAAGACTTTTTAGGTGCAACTGGATGTGCTGGTGGTGGAATTGATGGTTCTTGAGTTGGAGCTTGTGGTTCAGCCTCTTGTTTCTTCCCAGCTGGAGGTGGTGGTGGTGGAACTGTCTTTTTAATTGGTGGCGGTGGAACTGTCACTGGTACTTGGGCATGCTGTTGCGGCAAAGCTTCAGGTTGAGAATAGTCACTATTTGTTCTAGACAATTGTGGAGGAGTATAACTATTTGATAGATGTGATTTTGGAGGTAATGCGTGTTGAACATATGAATTTTTAGGAGGTGGTGCTTGACTTGGAGAGCGTGATGGTATTTGTGACACTGTTGGAGGTTGAATCAACTGATCTAGTGATGTTTGTGATGAGACAGAAGCTGGACCTGCTTTTGGTGGTAAATAAGATTTTGAAGCTTTCGAATGGAGTGAATTTCCTGAACTTGGTTGACCTGCTTCAGGTTCATATACAACTGATCCAGTATTTGATTGAATCGATGATCGTCTTGAAACAGCATCATTACTAGCCACTGGTGTATATCTTGATGGTTTTGAATTTGGTGAACCGCCGTATAATTCAGCAAGTGAAGCTCTTGGACTACTTCCACGGCTTGATATTGGAGTTTGTGCACTAATTCTTGGTGGTTGCCCAAAATGTGGAGCAACAGCAGAGTTAGCAGCATATGGGTTTGATGGAAGTGGAGCTTTAGCCACTTTTGGTCTCAATTCAACATTTGAATCTGGTCTCTTTAAAGCTGGTGGGGTATAAGCATTTGGTGCTTGACCATGAGCTAAACGTGAAGTTTGGAAAGTATCATTATCAGCTGAAATACCTGTTGGAGCATACATATTAGGACGTACTGATGTGGCTGGTGGTTGTGATTGTTGTCTTGGAGCAGCACTATAAGCTTGTTGACCCTGAGGTTGAGCTGCATTTTGTAACGACAGATATGAAGAGGTTCTTGAAACTGTTGGTGTAAATTGACTGAATACACCAGATTCTTTGCCTTTGCCTTCAGCACCTTCTTCACCACCTGAAATGAACTTATTCAAACTCTTATCTAAGGTACCCCAGACCTTGTCAAGTTTCGGTCTCCCAAACCAGCTACCATCACCTGCACCAGTACTGGACAATCTTTCACTCAAAACTTTAGCATAGAACAATGATCTTGGATTAACAGTACCTTTTGAAGCCTTGAAAGAAGTTGTAGCAGCATCCAAATATTTTTGTGCTTCAGTTAATAAATTGTAATCTGCTAAATAACTAGCATGTTGTAAGTAAATGGAAGATAAATCTGAAGCAATACCTTTTTCAAGCAAAATCAAGCCATAAATTTCCAGGTATAATGTTAAACGAACTGATTTAACCGTTTGTAAAGCAGCCAATGGAGCATCACCAAGAATCAATAAGATATAAGCTGGAACGATCATTTCATTTTCAATTAAGAATTTACCAAATTCAGCAATAAATGAAGCAGAAGCTAATGAATTATTCGCAAGAACAGCATTTGTTAGCTCTTTCCAATTATTCAAAGCCCAGATATTCTTTTGTGGAACTGTTTTGAATTCATTAATCACAGTTTGTACATCACCAGATAAAATTTGGAACAAAGTTGATAGGAAATTATCATGATCACCACTAAATTCAATAGCCAAATAGTTTTTAACCATATTCAGCCAAGCTTCTTTGCTAATAACACTTGAGATAAGTAATGCTAATGCATAATCTTGATGGCCTAAAGCTAAATTTAAAGCTTGTTCTTTTTCACCTGTTGATATTAAAGAGACCAGTTGCCTTTTACTCAAATTGTGTTTATAATCAGCTCCAAGACGTTGTTCATTGAAAGCTTGAGTAGGCTCAACATAATTCACATGAGTGTTACCTAAGGTAAAGACGCCTTTTTTTTCAGCTTCGCCTGAAAGTTTATATTTCAACACTTTGAGTAACTCTAACTCGTGTTCAAATGTGCCTGATAAATGTTGAATTTGTTTATCTAAATAGCTCAAGATACCTGGAATATTCTTTTTTGAAATCGTAGGAAATTCTTTTAATGCAACGTCGTTCAATATTTTTTCAGTGCTAACAACTTTAATATTATCAGTCAAATAATTATTTGTTTTAATATAATATGATAATTTTTGACCATTACCCCAACTAAACACTGGAAATTGTCTTGTCCATAATTGTTCTGGATTAACAACTTTTTCAACGATTGGTTGTGGAGGAAATTGAGAAGCAACTTGTTGGTTGTATTGATTAGATGGTGTAGGTAAGCTTTGAGTTTGTTGACCTGGTGCATATGGTGATTGGTGATGTTGCTGTTGAACATTATGTGGAGGTTGCAATGCTGGTTGTTGTTGAGCTTGAGGTGGTGGTGGATATTGATATTGTGATGGGGCACCAGGACCTTGAGGAATTGTTGGGAGTTGTTGTTGCTGTTGTTGCTGTTGTTGAAGTGCTTGTTGTTTTTGAAATTGAGCGGCACTATATGGATCATATTGATTTGCTGTTGAGCTTGTTTGTCTTCTATGATTAATAGGAGCATATCTTGTACTTGATGGTGTATTTGGTGACAAAAAGCTCTGTGAAGGAGATGCAACATTTAAATTATTGGTGTTCAGAGCTGGAGGTTGACCTTGAATTTGATAAGCATTTGTAGAAGGTAATGATGGACCAGCATGTGAAGCACTTGGACCACTTGGACCACTTGGAGGTGCGTATGGATTAGCTGGTGCATACTTTGATGCTGTAGCTTGTGGAACTGGTTGAGGAGGTGGAGTTTGTTGTTGAGCCTGTGGAGGACCCTGAGGTGGTGCTGGACCTGAAATTTGTTGTTGACCAAATGATGATGTACGACGTTGATGAGCTAGTGCTAAACCTGGTGTGAAATTTGATAAATCTGATTGAGGTGGTTGTGAACTTGGTGGTGGTGCATATCTATTTGCTTTCGGTGGACCTGCTGGTGGACCTGAAGCTGAAGCTAAGCTTGGAACTTGAGGAGCATATGGTGATTGTTGAGCTTGAGGTTGTGTTTGTTGTTGTTGAGCAGCTGGTGGAAACGCATATGAATTTTGTGGAATTGAAGGAACATTTGGGGTAACCATAGGTGAAGCAGGATTAGAATATCTTCCAGCTATAGCTGAGGCTTTTGGTGGAGCTCTATTTTGTGGTGGAGCTGCATAAGGATTTGGTGGTGGAACTTGTTGAGGTGATTGATGTAAGCCAATTCTAACTGGTGGAGGACGGTTAAAATTTGAATCAATTGAGCCAGTAGCTGATAAATTTGAAGCTCTTCTAATTGGTTTTGCAGGTGCAACTGGTGGTAAAATTGGAAGCTCTTCAAAAAATGAAGATTGTTTCTTCTTAACCGCACCAGGAATTGATGGAGTAGCACCAGGAGTAGCACCAGGAGTTGTTGAGCGAGGTGGTCCAACTGGAGGTGTAGCTTGACTTGGTCCACGAGCATATGGATTCAATTGTGGAGTTGCAGCAGGTATTGATGGTGATGGTGGAGCTTGGCCATACGGTCTTGCAAAAGGGGTTGAAGAAACAGAGCGTGCTGGTTTTTGAACAACAGGCTTTTGAGCAACTAAATCAATTGGGAAATCATAAGCATCTGATTTTTGTTTATTTTGATTTAATTTTTTGATATCAAGATGTGATTGTGATTGTGGATGTTGATATGGAGTTTGAAATTGATTATTTTGTGGAGTATAAGGATTAAATGAATGTTGTTGTTGTAAATGAGGTGTTTGAAGAGGTTGAGTTGGCTGTGTAGGTTGATAGTTTCTACTTTTTGCAACATTCAACTGTGATTGAGCTGGTTGTTGTAATTGTTGTGGTTGTTGTTGAGGTTCATCATCAAGTAGCTCATCATCTTCTAATAAATCATCATCCATATCTAAATCTAAATCTAAAAATGAGAATTTCTTATCATCTTTCTTCACTTCTGTAGCTTCGGCAGGTTTTGCTGGTGAAGTGCTACCACTAATCAATGCAGTAAAATCATCTGCTTTAGCTTCACCGCCAAATAGTTCATCAGCTGGTTTTTCCTCATTCTTTAGTTCTTGTGAACCTTCATTGACAGCTTGTTGTGAATTGTTATTAATTATTGAAGTAAAATCATCACCTTTAGACTCCCCACCAAATAGTTCATCAGCTGGTTTTTCCTCATTCTTTAATTCTTGTGAACCTTCATTGACAGCTTGTTGTGAATTGTTATTAATTATTGAAGTGAAATCATCACCTTTAGACTCACCACCAAATAAGTCAGCAGCTGGTTGTTCATCAACTTTAGTTTCTTGTGGTAATGCTGATGGTTGATCAACTTTGGTTTCTTCAGCATGTTGTTGCTGTTTCTGTTGTTGCTGTGCGTGATCATTATTTATTATAGCAGAAAAATTATCACCTTTTGAATCATCACCGAATAATTCAGAAGCAACTGGTTCTTGAACTTTGTCTTCACTAGCTGTAATCTGAATTGGAGCGTCGTCAACTTTGTCTCCACAACCTGCAACTTGAATTGGAGCATCTTCAACTTTTTGTTCATCATTATTCTTTATTATTGAGCTGAAATCATCATTTTGAGATGATCCAAATAATTCATCAACAGGTTTAACCGATTCATCAGGTTTTTGTGTAACTACTGGTTGTTGTTGTTGTTGTTGTTGTTGTTGTTCAGGAACAATTGGTTGTGGTGTACTCTCTTGAATAAATGATTGATTTTGACTAATAGCAACATTGAAATCATTAACATCAGAAGAGCCGAATAAATCATCATTATTTCCCTCTTGTGGTTCAACTGATTGAACAGGTTGAGTAACTTCTTTTTGAGGAGCTTGTGCACTGATAGCTTTACTAAAATCATCATCATTTGAACCACCAAACAAATCATTAGATTCCACGGTTTCATTATTATCAATATGTTGATCTGGAACATTTGGTGTAGGTTCTTGATGTGTTTCATGCGGTTGTTCATCTTTTGATTCCCAAGGTAATGAAGATTCTTCACCACCAAATAATTCATTTGATTTATTATCAACAATGGTTTCTGGAACAGATTCTTTAATACCTTCAACAGATTCAGATAAAGCAGCTTGAACTGGTATTTTATCTTCAGGTTTAGCCTCTTTAACTTCGTGTAATTCTTCAGTTATGATGGATGTTTCTTCTTGAACAGGTACTGGGAAAGTAACAGATTCTTCAATAGCAGCAGTGGCTGGAACAGGTTCTTGTAATTGTACTGGTTCAACAGGCGCTGTATCTTTTATTTCTTCCACTGTTTCACTTAATGCAGTAGCTATTGGTGTTTGATCTTGAGGTTTAGCAACTTGAATTTCATCTTGAGTATTAACTATTAGTTCTTGGTGCTCGACTTTATCTTGAATTTCTGGAACAGTTTCACTCAATGCAGCTTCAACAGGTATTTTATCATTTGGTTGAACATCAATAGCTTTTGTTGTATCTTCTTTTACCTCTGATGATTCCTGTTGTTGATTTACTAAAACATTCACCACGCTTGTTTGTTGAGATACATCTCGTATAACGTTTGAATCAACCACCTTTGATTCTGGTATTTCTTGTGTAGCAACATTATCTGTAGTAGTAGCAGTCTCTTCTTGAGGAACAGGTAATGGATCAATTGGAGTTGGCACGATTGGTGAATCAATTGGTGAATCAACATCATCATCACCTTCACCTTCTTCTTCAACATCTGGACTTATAGCATGACCAGCATCTTGTTCATTAGCATTGGCATTAGCACCATTCTTCTTCTTCTTCTTCTTCTTCTTTTTCTTTTTCTTAGCTTTCCCTGATTCTCCAGTAACGGGATCATTAACCACACCAATATTTGATTGTTGACCTTCTTGATCTGGGGCTTGATTCGGTGTCTCTTGTTTTGGACCCGCCCCTGGGGGCAATTGAGCATTAGACATGATGATCTGAGCAAATAGCAATATCACTCTGTGTCTCTTTTACTCAATATCACAATGAAAACAATGACTTTCCTTTATGGAATCCTTCTCGTTTCTTAACTTTTGTTGATTTGATCTTTTGTTGTTACATTCAAAAAAGTTCAACGTAGCGCTTAATTTTGAAAATCCACCAAACGAGATTTTCGCGGAAATTCTGTCAAAATTTAAAGTGTCAAATCATTACATAATCTCTTATACAAACATGACGTAAGCTGATTTTCTTTTTTTTTTTATTTTTTTCAAATCGCATCTCAAATTTTTTTTTTTTGTATTGGTAATAATCAAAATTATTATTGGTTTGTAAAATCTTTAATATAGAATATTTCAAAAACACAGTCCAACTAAAGCCCTATTCATACCATAATACATATATATATACAACACAGAATAAAGAAATGGCTGTTGGTGTGATCAAGAGCAAGCAAAAACTTGCCCCAGAAAAAGAACGTTTTTTACAATGTTGTTCAGATATTACATTAGAATTAATTGATTCATTAAAAACATCTAAAGAAATAAATTTAAATGGATTAATTACTAAAAATTCTAAAAAATATAGATTAAAAGCTCAACCACGTCTTACAGATGTTATTAATTCAATTCCAGATCAATATAAAAAATATTTATTACCAAAATTAAAAGCAAAACCTGTTAGAACTGCTTCAGGTGTTGGTGTTGTTGCTGTTATGTCAAAACCTCATAGATGTCCACATATTTCATTTACTGGTAATATTTGTGTTTATTGTCCAGGTGGTCCAGATTCAGATTTTGAATATTCAACTCAATCATATACAGGTTATGAACCAACTTCAATGAGAGCTATTCGTGCACGTTATGATCCATATGAACAAGCAAGAGGTCGTATTGATCAATTAAAACAATTGGGTCATAGTGTTGATAAAGTTGAATATATTGTTATGGGTGGTACTTTTATGTCATTAGATAAAGAATATCGTGAAGGTTTTATTACACAATTACATAATGCATTATCTGGATATAATGGTACAGATATTGATGAAGCAATTTTATATTCTCAACAATCATTAACAAAATGTGTTGGTATTACTATTGAAACAAGACCTGATTATTGTACAAAGACACATTTAGATGATATGTTAAAATATGGTTGTACAAGATTAGAAATTGGTGTTCAAAGTGTTTATGAAGATGTTGCAAGAGATACAAATCGTGGTCATACTGTAGAATCTGTTTGTGAAACATTTGCAATTGCAAAAGATGCAGGTTATAAAATTGTTAGTCATATGATGCCTGATTTACCAAATGTTGGTATGGAACGTGATTTAGCTCAATTTAAAGAATATTTTGAAAATCCAGATTTTAGAACTGATGGTTTAAAAATTTATCCAACTTTAGTTATTAGAGGTACTGGACTTTATGAATTATGGAAAACTGGTAGATATAAATCATATAATGCAAATGCATTAATTGATCTTGTTGCAAGAATCTTAGCTTTGGTGCCACCATGGACAAGAATTTATCGTGTTCAAAGAGATATTCCAATGCCTTTGGTTTCTTCAGGTGTGGAAAATGGTAATTTAAGAGAATTAGCATTAGCAAGAATGAAAGATTTTGGTACAAAATGTCGTGATGTTCGTACAAGAGAAGTCGGTATTCAAGAAGTTCATCATAAAGTTCAACCAGATCAAGTTGAATTAATTAGAAGAGATTATTATGCAAATGGAGGTTGGGAAACTTTCCTAAGTTATGAAGATCCAAAACAAGATATTTTAATTGGTTTATTAAGATTAAGAAAAGCATCTAAAAAACATACATATAGAAAAGAATTTTTAGGACAAAGAACTTCTATAGTGAGAGAATTACATGTTTATGGTTCAGTTGTTCCATTACATTCTCGTGATCCAAGAAAATTCCAACATCAAGGTTTTGGTACATTATTAATGGAAGAAGCTGAAAGAATTTCAAGAGAAGAACATGGATCTGAAAAAATTAGTGTTATTAGTGGTGTTGGTGTTCGTAATTATTATGCTAGATTAGGTTATGAATTAGATGGACCATATATGTCCAAAAGTTTATATTAGGACCTAAAACCTTAATTCTTTAATGAAAATATTTATTTGTACATATGAATCATATGTTGTAGTATGCTACGATAATTCGAAGTAGTATTCATAAACATGTCTATTATAAAACAAAAACAAAAACAAAACAAAAAATCATTAAACTAATTACCCAGTTTTATAAATTCATCCCATGCGGTTTCACAATGATTTAAAAATCTTTGTTTATCATCATTTAAATCTTTCCCATTTCTTTCAAATCGAAATCTAAATACATTATTCAAAATTCTTAATTCACCATCAATAGGATCTTTCCCCAATATTCCCTGAGCTTCTTCAGCTTCAGGTTCAATTGCATTATTTTCAACATCACTTTCACTTTCTTCTTGAATTTTCTCTTCAATTTTTAAATTCCCACCAATGGATTTTTTCGGTATTTTTTTGATTCCTTGTTCTTCATTTTGCTGATCTTTAGGTATAGCACTTGAAGGTCTTATATTAATTTCACCATGATCGAAAAATTCACGTTGAGCACTTAATGGTTGAGCAGCTAATGGGGCCATTCTTTCACCTTTATGGAAAACATCAACAACACCTTCTTCTCTCTTCATTCTAAAACCTCTATAACGAGCTGTTGAATTACCACCTGCAGTTTTTGGTATAGCAGATCTTGGTTGATGTGATGAATAAATTGCAGATTTTGGTATACCAGTTCTTGCACCTGAATATTGATATTGATAAGGTGGGATTGCAGTAGCTGATGGTGGTACTTGTTGTTGTATTGTAGATGATGCTGTAGCTTTTCTAATTCCATATGGAGTCATTGGTGTGAATGATGAAGTTGTAGCTGTGGAAGGATATCTTAAAGGTGCAGTACCAGGTTGTTGTAATCTATTCTTAGTTCTTATATTTTGGAAACCAGGTTTTGATGCAGTTTTAGGTGTTAGATATTGTTGGAATTGATGATAATGATGTGATGGAGCTGACATGATTGTTGGTCTTGCTATTAGATGTTGTTGTTGAAGATTTAATGGAGGTGGTGCATTTCTTTTCAATCTTTTGGTTGATGAAGGTATTGATAATGATTCTAAAGGAGCAGTTAACCCAGTTGGAGTTTGTCTAGCAGCAATCAATTGACGTTGTTGTTGCTCTATAGTCTTGGATATTAAGATTGTTGATTGCATTTGAGGATCTAATGGTGGTAAACCTGGAGATAGACATTGCATCGCGTACTGGGACATGTTTGAACTCTTTGAATCACTATGAGTGGAATCTTTCAAGTCTAAATTAGCAGGTCTTGGTCTTTTCTTTAATGGTTTTTCTTGTGGTGGGTGTTCTATTGGTGAAGTCATGTTTTGTATTATAGTAGTTGGTATTCCAATTTCTAAGAGTAATTATTTCCTGGTGGGAAGTTGAAGTATAAATTAAATAAATTTGTTTTGGAATGTGAAAAGTGTTTTTGGGGCTCAAAGTAATTTGAAACACGAAAAATTTCGCGAAGAGATTAACTATGTAAAACAATGGAATGAGACTTGTTTGAGGATGAGTGGGTGGTAATACTGAGGGTTGTTCTGGTGTGTTTTAGTAACTTTTTAGTTTTGGTTTTAGTATGTTATTCCACCTCTGTTCTCTTTTTACTCGTTGTTTTCTGGTAGAATTTGAGTTAGTGTTTGACCAGCCCAATACAAAAAAAGTGAAGCAGGTATAAAAAAAATCTGATTATGTAAACTTTGACTAAGCATAAAAGTGGTTTTTATATTACTGTGAAGTTTGAACTGATTTTATACTATGAATAGATTTTGAAGTTGTGAAGAAGGTGATTGATGATAGTAAGATAGAGGTTATGGGTATAACTTATTGGGATAACAGATGTTAAGTGATAAGCTATACTACGATGTTTCATGTTGAAAGATTGGGATAATCATGTATTTTTATACAACAATATAAAGATATCATTAACCATGATTTATAAATTTGCTTAAAGTTGTATCAAATGAATTTCTATTAGATCAACCAGAAAACACTAATGAACAACTAAGCGGTAATTTACTAGGAAAACAACTTTGCAACAATGTTTCAATTTTAAAAAACTTATTCAAAACAAAACAACAACAACGAGGGTATATATTAAGTGCTTGTTACAAAAAACAATATTAAAGATACTTGGATTTATAGTACGTAGCTAGAATATATTGTTTGAACTTGAGAAATAGAAAAATGTGGATTTTGGCCGTTATTTATAAAATTTTCAAATCACAGCGGTTAATTTTAGCAATATTCAATACCAAAATTATAATGATATCAAAGACAGTGGTTAATGGCTATCAATATACTACAATGAATACTAAAGAAAGATAATCACAATATGTATTAAACGTTAATAGATATCAATTCTCAGATACATTTGTTTAAACAATCATGATTAATTAATGTAAATTACTTCAACGTCAAATTCCAATTTAAAGTATAACTAAATTTAAATATAATCATGAGTAGGATATTAGTTAATAATGAAAAGCATTTCAATTGAGAACAAGTTAAATTAAAACAAATCTGATCATTTGTGTAATCAAAAAGCTGCTTGTTTCCAGATAATTCTTGAAGCTTCAGGTATGGGTTGGGCAATCTTTAACTAATGACGAAACAAGTACCACAATGCTGCTATTCATGAAGATTGTTTTATAGGAATTGAATATATTTAAATATGTTTTTAAAATATTTTGTTGTAGTACAGATAAATATATTATAATATACACAAAAACAAAAATCAACTGAGCGGCTAATTATATTTTTCAAACACCACATATACATGACAACAAAATTGATCATCTATTATATGAAAACAAGAATTCATGTATATTATCCACAATTGAAATCATAATCAGCTTTTAATTTTCCACCAAAATACATGATTAGACTAGATATATATGAAATATATGATTATCATCTAGTCTTAATTGATATAGCTATTTATATGTAATTGAACTGTTATAAGCTAATACTCAAACTTCGTCATCATGGACTGATATAGTAGTATAATCAACAACAGATTTGCAAACGATCATAGTACTGAACATCCAAACGTTCAAAATTAATATCTAGTGATATTATGTACAAATCATCAAATCATCAAATCATCAAATCGATTAATGAAATGAATCAGGCTACGATGAATGGAATTAGAGCTTTTACTACAGTCGATTTGAAAAACAATATAATTATAATGTGTATTAAATAAACAATCACTAATTCAACATGTGTATATGATTGATATTATTAAACTCATTATGCTAATAAAAATCATAATATTGGATATTGAAGTTCCATCAGGGGTCATAAACCAGCTCTTTTATACACAACATATGATGATACAAAAATTCATGAAAACATTTGATAAATTAATTTACCTGAGGCAGGATCTTAACTATGGCAGAAGCCACAAGATGGATAATGATAAACTATTAAATCAATGCAGCTGTGATATAACGTCCATGTACTACTTCTTTCGATTATTCAAAAGAGAATTTTACCACTAGTTATATACTAAATTCTCATGATATTTAATTTCAAATATTTAGATTTGGTCATAAAACCACAAAACCAAAACAGTTGTTGTGCTGGCGGCTAATTAAAATTCAATTGATCAATACTTTACATATGCGTGAATCACAAGGAAAATGATACAAATGGTAATAACTTATGGTCTTTTAATTATATTTGAACAATAGTATAATCAGCTCGATGTAGAATCTACAAGTATAGTTAAAAACAACTCAAATAATCATTCATTCTAATCTAATCATCTTTATTTAAAACAATGATCAAGATCCAAGTTGAAGATTATATAAAACTAAAGAATGAAATCAATCATTGAAACATTAACATGCATAGTAGCACCTTCTGGATCTAAAACCATTGATGATTCTTTGATTTAATTCATAAAATATCGATTCAACGTATGGTGTTAATATCAAACAGGAGCTTAATAACTTAAGCTAAGGACTAGTTGGTGATGACTAGGTGATAACTAGGTGACGACTTGGTGAAGACCCGGACAAAATTAATCATCATTCATTATATCTCCCAGTCTATTGGAAAAATTAAGTCAGTTGTATACGGCCTGGACAATTCAAGTTTGAAACTTTTGCAGGATTTAAATATAATTTTAAAATAATATATGCGCGGCTAACTAATTAAGGGGTTCAATTACTAAAAGATCATAGATACTACATTCATTGAAAAGTAAATCACAACGTTTATTAATCAGTATCAATATCATCTAGAAGTATAATTGAATGGCTGATAAAATCCTTTGTGTAATTCAAAATGTATATCAATAATAGTTCAAAGATCTGTAGATAACCCTAAAATTTTATCCATGATTATGCCATATTGATATATATGTATTGAATGATATGATGTTAACTGGGAACAATAAATATCAACACTAGTAAAGAGATGGTGAACGACTTAGAGATAATGATGAGAACAGCTATCATTCATATTCTCAAATTAAGAAAAATTCAAGGACTTGTTCATGTTATATAAATAAAAATGATGATTGAAATTTTGAATTACACAAAACCAATTGGGCGGCTACAAAACCAAATATCATAATATAACCAATTGTATAATTGAATGATTGACTTAAAAATGACGTTTATTTCTATAATTGAATCATAATCAGCTTTTAGTTGTACACCAAAAGACATGATTAAATCATTTGAAATAATATTTGTTTATAGTGAATCTAGTCTTGTGATTATAATAAGTAAAGAATTTGAAAATCTCAAATATTCTCTTCTAATTAAATGTAGAGCTAAACACCTTGATTTCTGGTCTATTCAAGATCCAATAAAGAACCAAGAAGCTGTTCTTATGTGAAAGAATCAACGCAAGCAATTTGCATTGAAAGAAGCCAAACTAACATTTACCTTCAATAATTCGGAAAGTTTTATTAGAATGACATTACTAAATCCTGATACAAGTTACAACATTCAAAGATATTTTCAATGATTAGTAGTAATATTTTGTTTTTTGAAAATTTGTATTTTTGAAAAGGTTTATGTATGGTACGTACCATATTTCATATTACTAGTTAGTACTGTTTATAATGAAACAACCGGTACTTGTAGACAATTCCAAATACATTCGTTAAGCAAAAAGGGATCAATTAGCTTGAAATGAATTATAATGAGTAATCCAAAGTTCTATAAGTGACAAATGCTTGATAATACTTGATCATCGTGGTTTTCCCCATTGTTATATGAATAGATCACAGTTGGCTCTATCAGGAAAACTATGGCTCGTATGAATATTGATGAGTATATATTTCACAATGAATCTCAATTTGAACAATGGAAAATCATCTATGAGGATCACTATACTGATATACCAAAAATGACTCTTGTTGTGCTTAAAAGTCTTAGAACACTTGTATGGGGTCCACCACCAGAAACTAAATTAGAAAGAAATCTATTGTTCAAAATTGATTGGTTTGTTTTAAGTTATACATGTTTAGCATTTTGGTGTCTTGCCATTGATACTTCAAATGTTTCAAATGCTTATGTTTCTGGTATGAAAGAAGAATTAGGTATCAAAGGTAATCAATTCAATATCATAAATACTTGTTGGACAGTTGGTTATGTTGTTGGTATGATTCCAAATAATTTAATTCTTTTAAAAATTAAACCAAGTATTTGGATGAATTTTTGTATGTTTATATGGGGGATTTTCACATTAGGTATGTTTAAAGTTAACAATTGGAAACAAATTTGTGCTTTAAGATTTTTCCAAGCTGCTTTTGAATCTGTTATATTTTCTGGTAGTCATATGATATTAGGTGCATGGTATAAACCAAATGAATTAAGTAAAAGAAGTGCCATTTTCACTTCAAGTGCATTAATTGGTGGTATTTTTTCAGGTTCTATGCAAGGAAGGATCCAAAGTACTATGCATGGCTTAAAAGGGTTAAGTGGATGGAGATGGTTATTTATTATTGATTTTTTAATTACATTTGTTGTTGTTATTTATGGAATACTTTGTTTCCCTGATACTCCAGAACTTTGTCATAGGAAATTCATATTCAGTGATGAAGAAATTCAATTAGCTAGATCAAGGGTTATTAAACCCCCACCAATTAGATTAGATAGAACTGTTTTTCTTAGAGTTTTAAAAAATTGGAAATGGTATGGATTTTCTTTATTATTTACATTAGCTGGTGAAAATATTTCATGGAATGCAAATTCTATATTTGCCCTATGGTTAACTTATAATAAATATCCAATACAAGATAGAAATTATTATCCAATGGGTATTAGTGCAGTGGGTATTATATCATCATTTATTTCAGGGATTTATATTGATATGACACATAAATTCCTTCATATTGCCCTGATTGTTTCAACTGTGTTATTAATCTCTACAATATTAATATGGTCAGCCCCATTAAACACAACTGCTGTATTCATAGCACATTATTTAACAGGGATAAGTTATTCAGTTCAACCAGTTTTTTTTGCCTGGTGTAATTTATCTATACAAAATGATGCAGAATTGAAAATTGTCACATTAGCTTCAATGAACATGTTTAGTAATGCAGTTAATGCCTGGTGGGGGCTTTTGTTTTTTGCAGCAGATCAAGTACCATTATCTAAAAGAGGTTGTTATGCCATGTTGGCAACAATTATAACTACTCCATTAGTTGCATTGGGTATTAACTATGGCTTAACCAGAGAAAAACGTAGAAAAGAGCAAATTTCACACGAAGAATTGGAAAGTCAGACAAGTGTGGTCGAAATAGAACACAATGGTATAGATAAACAATGAAAATCTAGTTTAAATAGCTTATAATATATGAATTAATATGTTTCTCCATAGTTAAACACTAAATATTTACCCGCCTTTAAGTGTGGTTCATCATTTTTTTAAGCCCTATTTTTTTTTTAGTAAAACGTCGAAAAAACGAAAAAACGTGAAAATTTGCAAATTTTTATAGAAAAAAAAAACTGAATTCTAAAAATTTATCCTTTATAAACCAACTTTGATTCCATTCAATTCAGTTCAATTGATACTTTTCATAATGTCTCAAGGTACTATTTACGGATCCCCATCCATCAGAGTCGTCCTTTTAAAAGGGTTAATCAAACATTACAAATTAGACATCACTGTTGAAGCTAAAGATGATTTAAACAAGGACATTTTCCCATTAGGTAAAGTTCCAGCTTTTGTTGGTCCAAAAGGTTTTAAATTAACTGAAGTTATTGCTATTGTCTTATACGGTGAGTATTTTAATCTAATCCACACATTGTTTGATTGTTCAATTGCAATGATGAGAAATATTATTCAAAATTATACAGTTATCCCTGTCTTAATACATAATGTCGAGTTTTTTTAAATCTGAAATTTTATCCAATTGAACAATTTCAATATCAATGGTGTGGTGATTCTATGATTTATAGATCAATTGACTAACAATTATTATTCTAGTTATCTCATTAGGTGAAGAAAACTCCCCATTATTAGGTAAAACTAAAGAAGATTACGCTCAAATTATCAGATATTTATCATTAGCTAATAGTGAATTACTTCCAACATTATTTAATGCTTTCGGTCCATTAACCGGTAGAGTTCCATACAACAAAAAACAAGTTTCAGATGCTACCGTTGCTATTGAAAAAATTGTTGCTACTTTGGAATCAAGATTAAACGATTACACTTATTTAGTTGGTGAACGTTTATCATTAGCTGATTTATTTGTTGCTACTATTGCTACCAGAGGTTTTGATCACTTATGGGGTAAAGAATGGAGATCAGCTCATCCAAACATCGTTAGATGGTGGAAAACTGTTACTTCCAATTCTATTTTAGCTGATCAATATTCTGACTACAAATTCAGAGATGCTCCAGTTGAATTTGTTCCACCAAAGAAAGAAAAGAAAGAACAAGCTCCAAAGAAAGAACAAGCTCCAAAAGCTGCTAAACCAGCTCCAGAAGCTACTCAAGAAGAAGCTCCAAAACCAAAACCAAAACATCCATTAGAAGCTTTAGGTAAATCAACTAAATTCAACTTAGATGAATGGAAGAGAGTTTACTCTAATGAAGAAACCAGAGAAACTGCTTTACCATGGTTCTGGGAACATTATGATCCAACTGAATGGTCATTATGGAGAGTTGATTACAAATATAACGATGAATTAACTTTACCATTCATGTCAAATAACTTGGTTGGTGGTTTCTTTAACAGATTATCTGCTTCAACTAAATACTTATTTGGTTCAGGTGTTGTTTACGGTGAAACTAACAACAATGGTATTGTTGCTGTTTTCGTTGTTAGAGGTGATAAACATGAACCAGCTTTTGATGTTGCTCCAGATTGGGAATCTTATGCATTCCAACAATTAGATCCAACAAAACCAGAAGATAAAGAATTTGTTGAAGATGTTTTCGCTTGGGATAAACCAGTCACTATTAACGGTGAAAAGAGAGAAGTTGCTGATGGTAAAAACTTCAAATGATTTAGGATTTTTGTTTAGTTCGTAATATAATATTTTTGGAATATGATTTTGAATAGTAATATTAAGCAAGTAATACAAGTAATTTAATTTAATACTAGATGACACTAATCAATGTATTATACTATGCGTTATTTAAAGTTGCAAAAACTTCTGTCTTTCCGAAGTTTATTCTCTATATAAACCCTCATTCTTAGAGGCCCGATTCTGGTGACAGATACATAAAATCGAGCAGAAAGTTGAGTTAAATATCATCATCCCGAGAAATTTATTTTGATTTTATAGAAAAGTATATAAAGTAAAAAGGATACTCAAAATCTATCGAATGTATGTCATTTATTGCTTTGCTATAAGCACCAAAGACAAGTTTCATACGATAAAACTTAACGCTTAACTGTGACACTAGAAACAAGTGAAATTATCAGAATGGTTTGGATATCACATTACATATTTACAGCCTTATTATTTCTAGTTAATGATTTTATTCAGATGATTTTCCCAAGACTTCATAGATGGATGTATATTGATAGTTTTGATCCTAAAGATAGAATGACTTTCAGTACAAGATTCATGATTACCAAAGTAAGACCAATATCGATTATATTTTGGAGAATGAAAGTATTCTTTTATCACATCAGATTTTGGATTTCAAGCAGAGTTGGATGGATCGGTATCATACCCAGAAAGATAAATGGTTCTGTCTTATATAAATTGAAGAGCAAAAAGGCATCGACCATAGAAACAACATTTCCACAAGATCAGACACCTTCAACTAATTTTGGTGATATATTTCCTTATGAGATTTGGGATAGAATTACAGACTTTCAAATAGCTGATCGTTGTACTTTAACAAGATTGAACAGAGCTTTCTATAATGAGTTTTCTCATAAAATTTATAAAGATTATAGTAATATTCAAATCCTTTTAGTTCTAAGCTCAACGAACAAGATGAAAGATAACGATGCATGTTTTTTGAAATATGGTCCAGATTTCCCTCATAAATGGTATGATGGGTATCAGATTTATTTGAGGAATAAAGAGTCAGAAAAGTTTGAGTATGAATTTCTGGAAGTGAAAACTTACAGGAAATATTTCGAAGAGGCTACATGTGCTTTACCTAAGATGATAATATCACCAGAGAGAGTTATGTTTCTGTTGAATACAATCATGAAAAGATCTGGGTCACTATTGAAAAAACAAATCAAAAGAATGTCGATAGATATTTCTATCTTGACTGGTTATCATGACTTATTCAATTGTTATGATAGCCCTATCAAATCCCAGATGGATAAAGTATCCCAGAACCCAAACTTAAGCATTTTAAATATTGAAAGTCCAGAGTTATATTCATTAGATGTACATGATTACTTTGATGGATGTAGATGGGAAAATGATGGAATCCTAACTAGCTGGGAAAGGTTTGACGTGGAAGCTTGGAAATCATCAAACATGAAGTTCCCAGGAATGGTTTATTTCAAAGAACTTGCGCACCTTTCTGCGTTATTTTACTCTTATAGGGATAGTGGAAGATTAAAAATGTTTTCCGTAAAAGATTCTGGGAGTTTTCAAGATCATAATTCGATGAACAATCACTCGATGTATTACGAAGATATTCATGATTTGACGGTTTTTAGTTTTTATGATGAGATAGCCCGGTTTGCAGCTTATCAATCATACTTTATAGATATCGTAAAAAGACAGTTCAAGACTAAATCAGAGACACAAAACATCATTACAAAAGTCATAGACACAGTATCTTGTATAAGAGAAGGTGACCCAGATGTGTCATTATTCATTAATGGGATTGAACCAGTACGGAGTGGAATTGAGCACCAAAATTCTAAAAGCACTTTTGGAACTTTATCAACTTTTAAATCTCAAATGACTTTATTGAATAGAAGACGTGCAGATAACTGATTCATATACTAATAGCTAGCTATATACATTATAGATCATAGTGTTGAATATTATTATTGAATGGCCTACCAGTAAATTAAAATAAGCGACAACCCTTTTGCAAATTCTTTCTTCAACAGAAAACAATTGAAACATCAAAAGCTAGCTGCTCAAGATGGTAAACTCTTTGGTCCAAAAACTATATTTTCAAAATTGCAATGAATATACTCTATACTCACTAACGTAGTTAACTGATTTTTTCTAGTAAAGACGAGTTGGTGTCAAAAGGATCACTCTTTAATAAAACCAATCAGAAACTTACCATACATAATAGATAGCTATTGAAATATCCAGTCTTTCGAATGTATTCTATAGTTTTGTTAGTAACTGGCTACCTCTCCATTAATCTTGCTGTTAATCGAGTATCTCACTGTTTGACTTGTATCTTGTGTTTTCAATAGAAAGATAAGTTTCTGTTAATGAAGCTTGATGTAACGAACCCCCTGTTGTTGCAAAAAGAAGAGGAAATCCATAAAGGGGAAAGTTCATGATTTATATAGTTTTCAGGCCAAAAATACTGGGGTGGAAGGTGCTCTCAAACCACTTATCTTTGTCAAATTTTTTAAAAAACATACATGACGATTCTATTGTATTATTGATTATTTATACTCTCAATTTTAAGACACAATATTAAGAGTCAATAAGGATATGAAAGTTTAGATGAATCAATTGGATTCCATGATTATAGTAACAATTAAACCTTTCAATTGAAATACCGATATTGGAGTCCCTAAGCTCATGTAGAAATAGTCTTCAATTTTATTACAAGATGTACTACAAACTTTTAAAGAAAGAGCTTGGTAGATTAAGTTATTATACACAGGATCGAAGTCAAATATGATTCATCGCATCTATCAAATGGAAATTTCAAATGAGTTTCTAGCAGAGGTGCTATTCATCAATGAAGTCATGTTGAAGTCAAACAACTAGTTTTGTTCCATTTATGAAATATGTGGCAATCAATCATTCAGCTTATTAAATTATTTCTAATCCTTCGTATCTTAATCACAGCTTCGGCTAACATGTACCGTGGGACTCTGATCAGTAATTATTCTTATACATGAGCATATATGATACATTAATACAATAAATTTTTAAGTTTAATATGTAGTATGTCGCGGAC